CACCCAGCGTGACCGACACCCATGTTTCCTCCATCTATGCTTCCCACCGATACTTCACCAATTGACAGACGATTAGATTTAAATCAATTATTTATTGGCGGAAGCACCCCACCCCCACAGCCTTTAGCACTGTTTGGACTGCTCCTATCACAGCGATACACCGTGTAACGTGAGTAAAGAAATTCAGCATCACAGATTCTACAGTCCAGCCAGGTTTCCGTAAGTGACTGGTACCCTCTTTCTCCCCTATGAAAATTTGCTGTGGAGGGTTTTGCCCCCATAGGACGGGATGAATCTCTTTGATAGCAATGCATACAGGCCAGAGGTTTGGATCTAGCAGGCCCTTCAGAAATGATTCCTTAACACCAATTTTAAATGGAACCACATCGTCATTTTTGTCCAATATAGAAGAAGAAGACAAAAAGAACAGGAGCGGCTTGCAGCATTTTCACAACAATAAGATGATTGAAGACAGAAAGAAAAACAAGAAGAACAGGACCAGCTGGATGCAGACCGTAATCTCTGAGGAACAAACTAGACTGGAAAAAGTTCCGAAAGTAAAAACTGATAAATCCCTATTCGTTGTCGCTGTTGGTGTCATCTGTTGTGACGCACTGTGAGCATTTATAAACTCTACATCATTGCCGTTCCCGCTGACAAACTTTATTATTAGTATTATTATTTTGTCCAATAGCAGGCGGTAGAAACCGATGAGGCGATTGCCAAATTGTCTAAGTACACATATTTGACGTATTGCACTATAAAAGAGAAGGCTTTCTCAAAAAACGATTTCTATGCTCCATAATGGACTAGTCTTGAGGTGAATTCCTATATTGCTTGATCAAGTCTGTTTTTGAACTGATCCACACTAGACGCACCAACTGTATCCTCCTCCAAAGAGTTCCATGTATACACTATTCGATTAGTAATAAAGTTTTTTCTAGGAAATTTCGCTGATTTCTCTTTGGAAAGTTGAGTGACCTCTTAAGTGTTAATTATTATTGAAATGAAAAATGTTTGTTAAACAACACACATAAAGGTCAATTCTCACTTACGCTTCACTCAGCTCGGCGACGCAACACGACGCCGCGCTGCAAATTGTCCGAGAAATTGTCGCTAGATAAATATTTCATTGTTTTGAATGAATAGATTCCCACCTACACTGCACTACACTACACTTTACGACGCGTCACATTTAAACTAGGGCTCGGGATTTTTAAAATTCAAGTATTCGAATAGTCGTTTGGTATTTTATTCGAATAGCTGAATAATTCGAATAGCCGAATATTCGAATACCTATTCGAATAGTCATATATTCGAATAGTCGAATAGTAAAATATTCGAATAGTCTAATATTCTGATAGTCAAATATTCCGATAATCATTTATATTAGTTAGTTCGTACTTCGTCGTACTGTTAGTTGTGGTCTATTTTCAATTAAATACCGGTAACCGGAATAGTCGTTTAGGTAACTATTGAAAATCTAAACATTATTTTATTCAAATTTGTAGTGTATAGGGTGAGTAATTGCATTGTTAAATAGTCCCATATTCAAATAGTCGAATATTTGAATAGTCGAATATTCGATTCGAATAGTCGAATATTCCAATAGTCGAATATTCCAATAGTCGAATATTCCAATAGTCGAATATTCCAATAGTCGAATTTTCGAATAGTCGAATATTCGAATAGTCGAATATTCAAATAGTCGAATTTGCTAACTAACAAAAAAGTCGAATTTAGAATAGTCGAATATTCGAATACAATTCCGAGCCCTAATTTAAACCAATGAAATATTTATCTAGCGACAATTTTCAGTGTCACTATATGGTTTGTTCCTCAATTCTAACAGAATTTTAGTAACGCGTCTCTGCACTTTCTCCAAGGCCTCAATATCCTTGGCATAGTAGGTGTCGCCTTCCTTCGATGGAAGCGTTGAGAAAAACGAATTCTTTTCCAGGCAATAATCGTAAAAACGTTGTTTAATAAAAATAAAAAAAATAATAATAATGACAAATTTATAATAACTCTATGGAGATTGTTAATACCATATGTTTTTTCAGCTCACTCGACAATAAAATTAATTTTTTATAGAAACAGGTAAAATTGCAAGTTGTTTGCTGGTGGGATTTTAAATCATTTGGTGGAAACATTACAATAATTGAAAAATATATGGCGCGATATATCCTATAAAAGTTCGTTCGGAACTAATTTTGGTTAACAATCAGACAGTAGGGATACCAGACGCTATAAGCATATTCTAACCTGGGTCTTATGTAGGATTTATAGAGCAAATTAATGGTATTTACTGAATGGTCTTTAAATGTTTTCTGTATTAAAAAAATGAATTTATTTGCTTCTGGTCCAATAATAGCCACTTTAAGCAAACCCTAAATTTTTCTACGTATCCGTATCCGCATCCGTAAACGCATCGACTTACGCTGACCGTTTGAAAGTCCTTTTAAGCATGGCCATACATTACGTAAACGATTGTATCCTTGGATGAAACGTTTTCTAACCTCAAAAAGTGTTGTATTGATTTTGTAGCTGTGTTTGTAGGTTTTCTTTATATCTATAAGTACTGTGTTTATGCTGTTGAATATATTTTAGTGATAGCCGACAGGCAAATCTCTCAATAGTGTCCAATGATTGAGATACGTTCTTGGATATGGATACGAGGTGAGGCCCGTAACGATACGGACAACGCAACGTAACGAAATCACCGTATCTATTCTGCGCATGCGCAGCTCGAAGCGGATACGGATACGTTTGAAATTCAGGACCTGCTTAAAGTGTCTACTTTCAGATTTTTCTTCTATAGAACTGTTGATATTTTCGTAATTTGCAGACCAAAAATTTGTTTTCTTAATAATTTGAGTTGGTGGTTCAATTTTAATATGAGTTTTAGCGGTTAAGACAATATGATCGCTTTGGCCAATAGGCATATGTTTTCCAATGTTCATAACAGACTTTTTATTGTTGGTTGAAAATAAATCCAATAACGACTCCTGACCTTTTCTATATCTAGTCGGAAATGGTACCATTTGATGTGCATTTATCTCCTGTCTAGAAAATCCTCAGTTTTTTTGTCGGACCCATTAATTGAATACTAGGCCAATTTATGAGAGGACAGTTGAAGTCTCCAAATATGAATGTAGGGGTCTCAGTAGAAAATGCACTCTTAACTGCATTATTCATTTGTAAATTGCAAGTTTTGGTGGTATATCCAGGTCTATAAATACAAGCAATGGTCATCTTAATTGTGCCTATTTTAACATCTAACCAAACTGAATTAACTGGTGTTTCTATATTTGATTTATCTGACAATTTTGCATTTACTTCATGTCCACCCAAATGACTTTTAACATAGACACAAACCCCACCCCTTTCTGATTTATGCGATCTTGTCGAAAATGGCAACATTCATCCAATTAAATAAAGCTGTCTGTTAAAGATTCATACAGCCATGTTTCTGTTATCAGAATAAAAGTGGGTGAAGCAAGGTTAGAAATGCATATTTTGAATTCATCTGTTTTATTTACAAGAGAACAAAGGTTAGTATACATAAGGGGAACCTCACACACCTCTTCGAAATTTAATTTTTCGGATGTCTGTCAGTTACAATAGTTAGAATGCCTCTTATATATTCTATGATTAAATTTTGTTTACCTTCACTATTTTCTTTCTCTAATTTTTCTATAACCCGCCTCAAATAGCTTTTCTGCATAAATGTCTGTTCATTTCTCATGTACGTTCCAGTTTGGTTCTCCATTGCTTTTCTGTTTCTTAGCACTTGCAAAGCTTCTTGCTTTGAAGATAAAATTACTTTGATTGGTCGCTTTTTATCTGCTGTATAATTTTCAAGCCTAATGATTCTTGCTGTATCAGGTAGAATTTGCGTAATTTTGGTGAACAAAGAAATTACTTTTTCTCTATCATCTTCTTTCCTTCCTGCCTCTTCATTCTTTCTGGATTCCTCCACTCCAAACATTAATACATTGGTAGCTCTTTCCTCTCTTTCCTTTAGTTCAATTAGTGTTGGTTCTAAAGCTGGCCTATCTTCCATACTTTCAATGTTGTCAACTTTTTGTTCCAAACCTTTCAGCGCAGCGCATCCGCGTAGCTCTCTGTGGGCATTTTTCAGAAATAACCTCTACTTCCTTTTTCAGCTCAGTTATGGTTTATCTCAATTCTTCGTTATTTGCTTCTTGGCTTTCGATAACGTCCTCAAAGCTTTGTGATGGTATTCTATCTGTAAGCGCAATAAGATCTGCTTTCATGTCACCTATAGATTTACGTACTTAGTGTTTCCCATTCACTTTCTTGATCTTGAAAATGCTTCTATACTTTTATCTTGAAAGAGTCAAAGTCGTTCTTGAACCTTGCATCATTTTTAACTGGTGACTTCATTGCTTCTAGATCATCCAAGGCTTAATCAAGATTCTCCTTGAACTTAGGTAGCTCCTTGATCAACATAGAGCAGTCGGGACCGAGGTCCGGACATAGAAAGATCATTGTTCTGAATGAACTGGGTTAATATCCAATCTCCTGTGCATGCAGTTTAGAGCAACCGGAGCAGATAACTTTTTTGCAGAAATCTTTTTGCTTTTTCCTCCTTTGCCTGGCAAACCCCATTGCATTTGTAGCAGTTGTGTTGACCCATTGTTTTATTCTCAAAACAAAAAATGCAGAACAAAACACTTTCCGGTCCTGTATTGTTTTTTTTTTATTGTAGGTATATGGTTGTTTTTGAAGGATTTTATAATTTTACTGGTACCCGCTAGACCTTATTCTTGCAAATTCACTCTGAAGGTAGTGGAGCGTGAGAAAAAAAAGTATCCAGAATATCCAAGCATTTAAAAATAAAATATCAGATACCTCAAATTTAGCAAAGATCACTGATGGAGCCACAGCAACGCGTGGCCAGGTCAGCTAGATAATATAAAATTAAATGGTGGAATAATGATTTGAATGTGATTGAAAAAATATAAATTGCTTACCCTCATCTTCTGTCTCAATTTCCTTTATGGGTCCTTTTCTGTCTTTCTTCTTTGGCCGCCCTTTGGTTCCACCCTCAGATCTCTGAGACTGTTCAAACTGCTCTATAAGTCTTCCATCTAAAATATTTTCTTCAGGCTCCCAAGTGTTATGTCTTTGACTCCAGCCTTTCCATTTTACATAATATTCAACTACTCCCTAAAAAGTGAAATAATTTGAAGGTTGTTGAATTTGTTTAATAGCGAGGACACAGCACAATGTTTACATAAATATAGGTAGGCAAATAATGCTTATTGAAGGTACTTGTGGTGTTTATATAAATATTTCACTTCCACCACAAGTGTAAGTACAGAAAAATTTTTACCTTGCGAACCCTCTTCTTCATAATTCTCTCAGCAGCATAAACTCTATCTCCTAAGCTCTCCATGGCTGTACGAGTTTTAATTTTGGTTATTTGGGAAAAACGTCTCCTACAAAGATTTTGTTTACCACTTTTACTAAACAGCTGTACCTTGATAATTTTGTACACAAACGAAAAAGAGATGCGGTTTTTCAGTAGTTTCAATATATTTTCATATCGAAAATGTCTGTTACCTTATAAGCTTTGGGATCCAGGAATTTCCTTATTAGTTTTGTGCCCACAAAGTCAAAATTGTCGGATTCAGGACACCAACCGAGAAGGAAGAAGATTTGAAAATGCCAAATGCGATTATGGCGAAACGTCGTCAAGAACCCAGTGCTTCTCAATGCTCCGTGGAGAACCAACGGATGTATACTCGGAAAAAAGCAACCAAACAAAATCAAAATTTTGAACACAAAAATTAAAATGAAAAACAAAGGGAGCCTTGTTTATTTTCTGTTTTTTCTTATGGGGTTCCATTAGGCGTTTTCGAGTAGTTTGTGATTGGATTCAACATTGACGTTGACGTATTGACCAGAATGGGATTAGTTGTATTACTTTCACACCTAGGAGCAGCTCCGGAACAGGTCCGGGGAGTTACGCGCTTATTCCTTTCGAAAAGTGTTTGTTGCACCTGAGTGCTGAAGCCCGACTCAAACCATTTAAATCAGAGATGGGCATCTTCGCGTAACCAAGATTGTCTACGTCTGGTGTAAACAACGCGTAGACAATGTAAACTATGTAATCTATGTAGACAACGTGTAAAGTATGTAGACAACGCGTAAAGTATACAATTTTTGACAGTTGGCAGGGCTTTAAAGTTATGTTTCTGTTTTTGCTTTTTTTTGTTTTTTGCTTTATAAAGTTAATTAAACTGCAGATAATGTCTAATTTGATACAATATAAATTTAATGCAATGCAAACTTTCAAAAAAAATACAAACTTTCTGTTGTCTACATTGTCTACATAGTTTACATAAGCCGCTTTCCAGCTGTGTGCTTCAAACACGGTGCAGCACAGTGTTCTGTGTTTGAAACGCAAAAGTTAACAGCTCTCAAAACGCAGTACGGCTGGAACACGAACACTCGCTTGAAGCATTTACGCGCGCAAAAGCTCGATTGCGTGCTCAAAAGCGTCAGCTGGAAAGCGGCTATAGTCTACATGGAAAAAAGTGGATGTAAACAATACGTACACAACGAGTAGACAAATCGCGTAAAGTAGATTTCATAGTCTACGGCACATCCCTGATTTAAATGCATGAAAGCCAGCGCACCTTTCAAATCGGGGTCGACTAACACCGGAGCGAGTAGCTCTAGTGTTCAAGCTCTTGAAAGAAATACAAATTTTGAAAGCGGTTTCCGTTGGCTCCGGTTCAATGTTCACATTCGAGTGGTATCGGAAACATCATGTTCGTTTCAAGCCTTGGAAGTCGGAGTGGAACGGTAAGCTGCATCTGCATGGTTGTCGAAATGGACACAGAGTTGTTCTACAAAGTTTCGTTTTTTTTTTAGATTATTTTATTTGAATTATCGTCATGTTGCAAATAAACTTCATCAATTCCTTTACGAAATTGGCGCAAAATATGATATTGTTTTTTTCGACATTTTCAAATTTTACGATTTACATGTTGCTGGGTTGCACTCTGGTGCGTTCACTTTGGATGCCGAACGACCGACGTCGGACGCGTTGAGTGAAACTTGCCAGCGTTCAGTTTGATGGAAGATAACGTCGGGCGACTTCAAGGATTAAGGATGATACACACTACTATCATCATAAGGCCTGTGTGGAACAAATCCCTCCACCCCCAACCCATCGTCAAATCACCAGTTGTGACGTAGGCAGCATGGGATTTCTCGCCTTGACGTAGGCTGTACAGCTGACGACTTAGTTATGACGTCGGAGATGGTGACACACCAATATGGCGGCGATTACCAAAAACGAGGCCGATAAGCAATCCAGAGCTGCTTTCTTTTCAGGGGCTTGGGCGCCCTGGATCACGATGTTGAAATGTGTCAACCGTTCTTATTAATCGCAACGTCAAGCCCCGGGGTCGTCTATCCCCACCGCTAGCGCCTCAGTGAGGCGTCGAAGGTCCACAGCTCCAGTGTCCGAACTGTCACTAGTGTCAGATAATTAAATGTCCCTACTGTTCTTTTCAGAGCGTGCGCTGACGCGCCCCAGGCCGTGGAAGCCCGGCTGTAGGTGTGTATCATCCTTGGGGCGACTTGCCATCGCGTTCACCTCGAACACATGGACGAAAGTTGCCGGACTTGGTTGGGAATGTTGGCGATCAGCTGAATAACATTAACAAAATGGAAAGGAAAAATTATTCCGAATTTACTTCCCAATAATTTGACCTAAATATTACGTAAATATGCCCAAATTACAGTTGGAAGTACTTTTTGCACTTTTCACTTTTCGTGGTCACTGGTCAGTATAGCTTAATTCATTCTCAGTTGCGCGATATTCGTTGGTTTTTGACATTGCTTTGACAATTTGACTTCTGGAATTACATGTAATTCAAAAAGTTAACTGTCAAAGCAGTTTTATAATACCCGCCCTTAGCCACTGGTAGGTTCCAGTAATCACGTTCTTTTGTTTGAGCGTGTATTTCAAGTGGCGAAGGACCACCCTGTGCTCAGGGAAAACAGTGGACTGCAGACGAGCTTCTTAAATGTTTTATTAAAAAAATTATATAAAAAAATGCGTGGCAGCGAGCAAATTGACAAACGTGTTTCAAACTTTTTCTATTTTTTCAAAAAAGTCACGTCTACTTGTTTTTTATTTGCTTGGTTACTTCTGTTTTGTTTTTTTTCTTCTCCAGCTCTTGATTTTCTTTTTCATTAAATACCTACTAACCGGAACATGCCGCCCGCGTTGAAAAGTATACTTTTCAAAAAAGTTATACATTGATAAATACTTAAATAAAATGAACAAAATTTATGCAAAAAATTGCAATTTTAAACAACGTACATCTCTTCTAAAATTTTCGAGAAAATCTAACTTTTGAGAGGAAATTAAATTCTTAGACAGTCGTATCAATAGGTAAAACACAAATTTTTGATAGTGATCGTTTCACAATAGTTCCACTAGATAACTTCACTGATACCACTCTCACAATGTTATCTGCACCGGGATGTAAAGCAATCACCTTTGCCATAGGCCATCGTAGAGGGGGCAGATTGTCTTCCAACAAAATCACAATGGAACCAGCTTGTAGATTACATGGGAGTTTTATTAACCATTTTGAGCGAGCCTGGAGCTGACTTAGGTATTCTCGTGACCAACGAGACCAGAAACTTTGCAACATTTGTTGTAGATGCTGGTATCTGAAGAGCCTGTTAGTATTTTGATCCAATATGTTATGTTGGGGCATGCTAGCTAAGGAATCCCCAATCAAAAAATGGGCTGGCGTCAGTGGCATAATCATATCGTTGGCATCGTGGGATAATGTTGTTAGTGGACGTGAATTAAGACAACCCTCTATTTGTACGAGAAGAGTATTCATCTCTTCGTAGGTTAAAATAGTATTTCCGAGCACGCGTTTCATATGAAATTTTGTCGATTTAACGGCGGCTTCCCACAAACCACCTACATGTGGAGATTTGGCTGGTATGAAGTGCCACTTGATCTGATCTTTTGCGAGAAATGCCGACACATTATTTTGAAGTTTTTCATTATTTAATAACTCGTATAACTCTGAGAAATAATTATTGGCTCCTACAAATTTTAAACCGTTATCAGAGTAGATATCTGTAGGACGACCTCGTCTAGAAATAAAACGCTCGAGTGCATTCAAGAAACTTTCTGTAGTTAAATCGTGGACCAATTCAATGTGAACAGCACGCACCGCAAAACAAACAAAAATGCAAATATAGGTCTTCACAGTTTTGCTTCTACGAAGCGTACCTTCCTTAATAAAAATCGGTCCTGCATAATCGATGCCACATTTTGAGAAAACTCTAGCTGGTGTAACTCTCGCGTGAGGCAAATCGCCCATTAAAAATTTTGAAACTCTTGGGTTAGCTCTAAAGCACCGTACACAAGAACGAATAACTTTTTTGATCGCGTTTTTACCATTTATTGGCCAAAACTTCAATCGCACAATAGATAGCAGATTTTGAGCTCCAGCGTGAAAGTTTTTCAAATGTTCGTGAGAAAGCAAAAGATTAGTAAATTGGTGTTTAAATGGAAGAACTATAGGATATTTGTGGTCATATTCAAGTTGTGAGTTGGATAAGCGTCCTCCTACTCTTATTAAATTATTTGAATCCAGAAAAGGATTCAAGTTAGCCAATTTACTATTTTTATCTACCGACTTTGAATTTTTGAGATCAATAATTTCTTTGTTAAAAGCTTCTAATTGAGCAAGTCTTATGAGAATATTTAAAGATTCTGATAGTTCATCAATTGATAGAAATTTTGAAGTAGATTTTGAAATCTTTTTCAATAACCGATTCTTGAATCTGCACATGTATCCAACCACATGCTGTAACTTTATGAAAGTGGAAAATTCATTGAAAATTGTAAATTCAGAAATTTGAGTAGTGGTTAGCATTATAGAAACTGTTTTGATTTCGGGTAGTGCTTCTTGAAAGGAAACGTGTAAATTTTCATAATTTTTTTCTTTGAGAAAAGACGGACCTGTCCACCAAAGGTCGCAATTTTTTAAATATTTTACGTCAATACCTCGAGTTATTATATCCGCAGGATTATCTTCACTCCTGACAAAATGCCAATCGTCCAATTTTGTAAGTTCAGTAACTTTCATTACTCGGTTAGCAACAAATGTTTTTAATTGACTTGGATCGATTTTCAACCATGATAAAACAATAGTCGAGTCAGTGAATAAAACAATTTCGGAAATATTTACATCAAGTGCATTTTTTACAATATTGACTAACTTCGCAAGTAAATGAGCTGCGAGTAATTCGAGACGTGGTATGGTAAGTTTTTTAATTGGGCAAACTTTTGATTTTGCTGTGAGTAATCGCACTTTCCGTTCACCCTTTTCATTAATTGAACCTAAATAAACACATGCGCCATAAGCCTTTTCAGACGAATCGCTAAACCCAAATAAAATTACTTTATTTTGAGAAATTTGTACCACCTGTCTGGAAATTCTTATGTCATTTAATAAAGGTAACTCCTTCACAAAGTTTAACCATGATTCTGTTAAATTTGGAGGAATTTCTTCATCCCAATCGAGCTTTAAATTCCAAATATTTTGAAGTAAAATTTTAGGTTTTATTAGACAAACACTAACTAGACCAAGCGGGTCAAATATTTGGGCTATCGTGGACAGAATAATACGTTTGGAAACTTTCTTGGGATTTATGTTTACTTTTATCGAGTATTTTAAAATATCTTCATCTGGAATCCAAGAAATACCTAAAGTTTTGAATTCTTTACTGACGTGGGGATGAATTAAGTTGTCATTGTTAATTTTATTTGATTGCAAAATAAAGTCCAATATAGAAGTTTTGTTTGACGACCACTTCCTTAATTCAAATTTAGCTTGCAAAAAAATATCAGTTATTTCGCGGTAAATATCTAAGGCTTCTTCTTCTGAATTAACACTAACTAGAAGATCGTCCATATAAAAAGAATTTTCAATTATTTTACAAGTACGAGGATAAATGTCTTTATTATCTAAAGCGAGCTGCTTCAGACAACGTGTCGCGAGAAAAGGTGCACACGATGTGCCATAAGTCACTGTATTGAGCGTGAAAACTTTAAGTGATTCTTGAGGATTTTCGCGCCAAATAATTTGTTGAAAAGAACAATCGTCTGGATGTATTAGGATTTGCCTGAACATCATTTTGACGTCAGCATTGAGAACAACCTTTCGTAAACGTAGTCTTAATAAAATAGAGTAAAGATCATCTTGAACCGTGGGACCTGATAATAAAAGATCGTTTAGAGACCTCCCTGTATCTGATTTTGCGGAAGCATCGAAAACCACTCGACACTTCGTGGTAACTGATGAATCTCTCAGAACAGCTGTGTGAGGTAGAAAAAATGACGTTCTCTCCTTAGAATTATCCAGTTCAAGATTACATTTTAAAGACATATGATTTAATTGATGATATTCTTGCATAAATTGAATATAACATTCCATTAAATTTTGGTTGTATCGAAAACGAGACTCTAATTTTTTGAATCTTTTCAAAGCCATAGATTTTGAATTGCCTAAAATTTCGCATTTACTTTCGGAAAACGGTAGTCGAACTACAAATCGACCATCTGAATTTCTGCTTGTGGTTTGCTGAAAATAATCTTCACAAAACTGAGACTTGCGTGACAAAATTTGAATTTTAGGTAACTCTTCGATTTGCCAGAATTTGTTTAACTTTTCGTTTAAATCATTATTTGACACCTGATTGATGAAATTGCATACTGATTTTTGAGAATTTATTTTGCCTGTACTTAAAGTTCCCGTTAAAATCCAACCTAAAGAAGTTTGCATTAAAACAGGTAGATTTTGACCTAATTTGATTTTTCCGTTCTCAATAAGTTCATAAAATATATTTGCACCCAACAATAAATCGATTTTCTTGGGTATATTAAAATTTTCATCAGCGAGGGGAATGTTTTTTGGCAAAGGGATTTGAATTTTTTGAAATCCAAATAACGGCAATTTTTCAGTAATAACTGGCAAAACTAAGAATGTTAATTTAGTTTGAAAATTAGTGAATCGCGATTTTATTTTAGCTTGAGTTTTTTCGTGAACATTCATTATTATTTGGTTTATACCTGCTAAAGGAGCGCGGATTTCTTCAGAATCCAACATCAGCCTTTCACGAAGTTCGCGGGTCATTAAATTGGATTGACTTCCAGAATCTAACAAAGTTACGCATTCATGCAACTTTCCAAATTTATCTTCGATTAACACCACAGCTGTAGATAGAAGAACTTGACTGGCATTTACATTAACAAACGATAATTCTGAAAAATTCGGTAAATGAGATGACATACAAACATTTTCATTGAAATTCTTATCCTTCACTGACTCAAACTCGTTACTTTGACCAGCTGCCGCGTCATAACGGTCGACTCTCATGTCCGCGCTTTCGTCTGTCATAATTGGAAATTTGTCGCGTAGTTCGTGAGCTATGAGGGTCGATGTTGCGACGTAGTCCTTTTTTTCTGAATTACTGGTGACTTTGGGCTTAAAAGGAGCAAAATTAGTTTTTGTTTGTGGATTATCTTCATGTAATAACGTGTTATGTTTTTGGGAACATTTTTTGCAAACACCTGAATTGCAATCATTTTTGAAATGACCTCGACGCAAACAATTACTACATAATTTATGTTGATGAATTATATTGTATTTTTCGTTTATTGATAAATTTGTGAAATTCGAGCATTGATAAATATAATGAGCTTCATTGCATATAGGACAAACTAAATTGCCTGTTACTGTAAAACATTGTTGTGGTGATGATTTATTATTTCTGAATGAGAAGTTTGATGTGTGTTTTGAATTCAAGTTTCTGATGTTTTGTGTGTCGTGTATTTTTTGAGTTTTAGACGCTTCGTACTGCAATGCTTCGAGGGAAAAACACTTTTTACTTAAAAAGTCTGTTAATTGATTTAATGTGGGTAATTTGTCATCATCTTGTTTAACTTCCCATTCGCGTTTGGTTCTGTAATCAAGTTTGCTCAAAATAATCGGAATTAATAAAGCGTCCCAACTGTCCGTTGGTAAGCCTAACTTTTTCAGAGAGGTTAAATGCTGAAAAAGTAGATCTAACAATTTTCTCAAATTTGTGGAGGATTCTTTTTGAATATCTGGCAATTTAGAAAGTATGCTGTTGACGTGATGATTTACGATAGCACGTTTATTTTCATAACGTTTGTGCAGTATATATCGAGAGCAATTTGATAATTACTCGCCGTAACTTCTAACGAGTCTATTAACCTGAGCGCGTCATCTTTGCAACAAACTTTTAAGTAAAGAAACTTGTCAACTTCACTTAAATTGCTTTGATTATGAACAATCGAATTAAAGATATCTTTGAAACTTAACCAAGTTTCATAGGTACCGTAAAAACTGGGAAGACCGATTGCTGGTAATTTGGCAACAGAACCTGAAGAAACTCCCAAGGTACCTACTGATGGCGATACTAGCGTCGTGCTTGCTTGTTTCACTGATTCAATGCACGATTTTGCAAAACCAATTACCTCATAAAACTCATTTTCGATGTCTAAACGGTTACTTTTTTCTGCCCTATCCAAGAATTCTAAACTGGTTTGTGTTTTATCAAATTCAAGAAAATCCTCTTGAACACTCTTCAAGCGGATTTCAACCTGAATTGAATTTTGATTATTTTTATCCGTGCTTAAAAAATCTTTGAAACGTTTCAACCTATCAATAATAACTTCTCGAGCATGTTTGAGTTGTGAATTTTCTTCCTCTGACTTTTTCGGTGGCATTTTGCTAATGAATCAGATCAAATGTACACTTGAATACGCAAAACCGTAATTATTTGATTAATGAACAAAAACCGCTGGTAAATCAGGTAAAAAGGTGAATGTCAAAAAAAAATTGTCAAAAAATCGATATTTTTCCGTCAAAAACAAATTGAGGAATGCAATGCTTTTAAAATGTATGTTGTAGCGTGTGGAGCGTATGACAATAACTTGGAATGGACTCACGAGACTTGTACTTATTTTTCTTCCTGCGCGTTTCTTCACTGGTCAATTCAATATCCGGTTCGTTGGGACCAATCTTTTGTTTGAGCGTGTATTTCAAGTGGCGAAGGACCACCCTGTGCTCAGGGAAAACAGTGGACTGCAGACGAGCTTCTTAAATGTTTTATTAAAAAAATAATATAAAAAAATGCGTGGCAGCGAGCAAATTGACAAACGTGTTTCAAACTTTTTCTATTTTTTCAAAAAAGTCACGTCTACTTGTTTTTTATTTGCTTGGTTACTTCTGTTTTGTTTTTTTTCTTCTCCAGCTCTTGATTTTCTTTTTCATTAAATACCTACTAACCGGAACACACGTACTTTCGCATTTTGATATTTGACAGTTAGCGAATCCAGAGGTGCTTTCCAGTGATCCATTTGAGTTACTCCTGAGCAGCTCAGGAGTGCTCCACAATTGCTTTGCGCGTTCCAGTGCTTAGAGTGTCGTACACTTGAGCTACTCATTTCTGTTATCCCCTGCCCCCTCGTGCACCATCCCTTTCGTCTGTGATTCATGCTCCTGAAATCCGAAATGGTGGGGGTTAAGACGAGAGCGTTCCAGTGCTGCTTATGTCGAACAGTTCAAGAGCGTCACACTTCAGGAGCATGATTTTCTAACAATTTAGGCACTGGAAAGCGGCTATGATCCGAGAAATTCTGAACAAATTAAACGTTTTTTTTTTTTTGTGATTAGTTTGTTCCGATCACGAAAATCTGGACAGCGTTCTTTCGGACCTTAAAATTGAAACATGTTCCAATTGAACAAACGGATCAGGATCTCGGAATCATGATTCAAATATATTGCGAAAGAATGCGGCTCAGTTTAACGATCGCCCGACGACTCGTCCATGACCTCATTGTTCCGGTAAGTTACCTTGTCGGACGTTCATGAACGCAGTCCTAGGGTAACACCCGGTGTGTTTTCGAACGTACCCGACGATGCAGGTACAAGAAACAGTTGATAAATGACATTTCTGTTTATTGTTTATTTTTTAAAATTTAAAAAGCTACAAATTTAGCTACTAGGTAAACAACTTGGAAATTTACCGCCTTTAGAAAACATAGAATTGCAAAATGCTTTCATCAATGGTAAAGGAACATCACACCAAGCAAAGTGTCAAGAAACAAATTCAAGGTACCTACCTCATCCAACCTATTTCTTTTCTAAGTAGGGGGTGTCTATTTGGACACTATTTGGGTCCCAGAACATTTTGATATTTTGATTATTCGTACCTAGAAAGTAGAATGCCGAGCCCTCGGCCGAGCCTCACTTAATATCGTTATATTTTTTCCTTGATTTTTTTCCAAAACATGTATGTGAATCCAGCCCCTTATAATTATATATTGGTTTGGGAACACAGTTGTTACTGTGAAGCTGGCTCCTTGGCTTCTTTCTTGTTATTTCATTGACTATTTTTGCCATTATTGTAAAAATTAAACCAAAATAAACTAAAAAATAACAATATATTGAGCGTTTTCGAGGACCAGAATATCGGCCCTGAGCGTTTTTGATTGATGCAAATCGCCAACGACCAGTTTTGACTCTTTTGAACCAATGAAATTCACTCTGATAGGCTTCTGATTTCTGTGAGACACACCTTATTTGGGTCTCGTGGGACATTTTGAAATTTTGACTGAGGTACCTAGAAAGTATAATGTTTTATGTTTTTACGAAGCCTGCTCCTAAAATACATGCCCGTTGATATACTGCTTTAGAAACTCAGTTGCTAATGTGAAGCTGCCTCTTTGGCTGACTCATCGTTATTCTATTGACTATTTTTGCAATTATCATCTGCTTTTGAAGCAATTGTGCATTTTCAAGCATTTTCAAGCTGATCAGGCTCCTGCTAGTGCTATATCCACATCACAAGTAATTGTTGATGGAACCATGTAGTAGTTCGCATGTATTGTCTAAGTTGCTGTCTTCTGGCAATTGATCCCTATCCCTGATAAATGGATGAACTCCTGTCTTAGAAAAACCTGATAGAATATTTTTTAGGGTACACGTATCCACAAACGCTTGGTTTGCAAGCTGCGGAACAGCAATAATGGCATTCTCTAATGCCCACAAACAGACCCAAACTCTCTGTTTGCGGTGAGACATATATGGAAAGAAATTACTGCTAAGACTTTTTGATGACACATTTTAAATGCAAAGGTTTTTTCTTGTAGCTCTTGGGACTATTTGGATATGTTCAAATATCCCCAAAAAGCATGTCACATTAGCCTCTTGAGTAACTACGTTTGAAGAACAAAATCAGAATTAAAAAACAAGCGGCGTTGCCATTCAAACCACTACTTAGGTATATTTTAGGATAGATAACTTCACAAATATGAATATTTACTTGATCAATTAAATGCTTGATTGAATGTAATTTATTATTCACTTGAAGCACAACACTAATAATTTTCTGCTGCAAGTTTGATAACGATCTTTTGCGCCTTGGCAACGAAAGTGGCTGAAATAAAAAATTCTCTATTTTTCATGAGAACTCCGCGAGTGAATACTAAAAATTTTGTATTCATTTATATGGTTCATACCTCGTTTGTTCAATTACACATTTAGGCGGTTACACACGGACGTGGATGTCTGAAAACATGTACGCACATACATGAACGTGCAGACAAAAACATCAATGTGTATGCAAAATATCGTCGCGTTTTTGAATGTGCAATGTTGTATGCACACTCGGAACACTGTAGCAAGAATAGCAAGACTGCAGTTTTGTGCGAGCGTCTGTACGAAAGCGCCATGCACGTTGTTGTTTGCACATTGATGTATGTACGTATATGTATTAAGACATCCAAGTCCGTGTGTAACCGCCCTTTGTCCTTATTTCCCCCATTTTACTCTATGATTTTGTATATCTATTTTCTCTTATTTAGAAACCAAACGAAAGGAGGCATGTGCTGCAGCTAGTGATTTAACTCAGGCTCTTGTAGACCATTTGAATGTTGGGTGAGTACTTCCACAAAACAAAACTTTCTCTAAAATATCATGTTGGGCTCTGCGGTGTAATATACTCATTACTTGTTTCAAGGTTCATTGCATACTTCTATTTAATAATTCATAATTCAATGTATGCATGGCCACTGGCCACTTGATTTGAATTTATATCTTATGATGTATGATCTCTCATAGAATGAATGCGATTTGGAAGTTGATATCATTTTGCCTTTAGTTTCTGTAATAACAGTGCCCAATAAAGATTGATGAAAAGTAGCTGACACTTTGAAAGTGTCACTGCATGATTTTTAAATGATAAGTTATTGCCTCATCTACGCTACTTATACAGTTGATACTATTTATACAAACTTTAGTTTTTGTTACTGTAGTTTGTTGGTGAAAACGTGCGACTATAATATAATGTGTTTTTTTAGGGTGGCTCAAGCCTATTTAAATCAAAAAAAGCTTGATGCAGAAGCAAAGCAATTACACACTAGTGCCTTAGCATTTTCAAAGCAAACTCAACACTGGTTGAGTTTAGTAGAATCATTCAGTGGTGCACTCAAAGAACTAGGAGATGTGGAAAATTGGGCCAAAACAATTGAAGGTGATGTAAGGACTATTACTACAGCATTAGAAATTGTTTATAAAAGTTCGCAGGATCAGAGCAGTAGTAGTCAGTAACAGTGTTTTAAGGTTCTGTCAATTTTTTTTTTTGGGAATGAAGTTGTTAGGTTACAGATCACTTTAAATTTTTGGAGCTTTTTTTTGTCCACATCACTTCAAAAAATTAAACTCCGTTTCTGGCTTATCGGACGTTAGATTATTAGACTGAAACATCGGCATTGATTTAATAATTAAATAACCGTCCAATAAGCCAGAAACTGTTTTTCAATATTTTTGTTAACTCATCTCATTTGCTTTAAAAAAACTTGTTCTGGACTAAGGTCTGGACGAATTTCTAATACTACAAGAAACGTTTCAAAATAAACTGCTCCACAGGAGGTGAGGATATGGATGCTTTCCTTGTAAAAAAATCAAGGAACCTCTTTTTTTATGTAGATATAAACTTTAGTAAAATGAATAAACAAATATCCCTAACTCTTGTGGTTAAACATGATATCACCTGAAACGTTTAAACTTGTTGGGGAAGATAATTTAGGGTAATTTATCTGGAGCTATACATATACTCCTTGACAAAATTATCGCACCACTGCACATAAGCATCACCATAAGCAGTGGTGTGATAATTTTGTCAAGGAGTATATAATACATTAGGTAAATTTAAAAACAAACGTATAAACACTTTTTTGAATAAAGAATAGTTGGATATATTTTTAAAAAATAAATACACGTGTCCTAATGACAACTTTAATGTGATTTTTGTTTAGAAAAATCTGGACCTAATTTATAATTTAATTTTGAAATTTACTGGTTGATTTACAATATTGATTGCTTTATTTATTTATTTATTTATTTACCTTTCAATGGGTTGGGAACCCATCCAATATTCACCGCTCATGTAAGTAATGTATATTGCTTTTTTTGCATAGGATTCACAAGAACAATGCATTTGATTATGATAATATTTTTATTCAGAATTCTTCACATATTACAATGATATTTTTTATTTCTTGTACAAGAAGAAGTTGAAAATTTCACGAGACAGCACATCTCGGTTCTCCAGTGTCACCTAGAACAACAATAACAATAATTGAAAAAAAAATTATCCAATTCAAAGTAAAATTTTTAAGGTTGTAAAAAGAACTGTCTTGGTATTATAATGGAGATAATAGAAGGCTCAAAAGTACTGTCTCTATAAATGTAAAAGTTCTGTTATTCTGGTGGTTAGTGTAAGATTTTGGCAAATTTCTGTTTTTTTTCCATCTTGAAAACAAAAAGTACAAAAAAAAGTCTTGACACATTATCAAATTTATAGAAAATCAGTTTTTGCTATGCTCCTTTTATCGAAGCTAAGTTTAGGGAAACATTTGGTTTTCAATTCCAAGCTCAAGGACAGCATTTTTTTTACACCTGAGGTCAGTTCTCACAATATTCTCTGACTGTTTGCAACCTATCAGAAACAATCGCTCAGCTAAGTTACCGACTTACCTTAGAATGATGGCATTGAAAACATGTTTGGGCTCTGGCAGTTTGCAAACTGTCAGAGACTCCTGTGAGAGCAGACCTTTGGACTTTCACGAAACGAAAATTTTACTCACATTTATAACTTTGGTATTATTGTTCCTTTTCAGTTTTTCTACCATTTCTGGTCCTTGATTAGGAACAATAGCCAAAACTTGAACATTTTGTCTGTTAAACAACAATGGTATGGCTTCTTCAAATTTTCTGCTGCATAACTGCATTCTTCCGATTTCAATAATCAGAATTCCTTGTTGCTAAAAAAATGTTATTTGAATTAATAGAAAAATGGGCAGAGAACTACTCACAAATGAATGCAGCATTGGCAAAGTAAGGTCCTCAAAGTTTTTCACGTAAATTGTGTAAGATCCTAGTCTGGCATATCTTGGACCAACTGGATGATGCCTGGAAAAAAATAATCAATTTACCGAAGTGTATTATAAAGTCATTATAAAGTCTACTTTGGACTTGAATAATTTTAGAAACCCTAAAATAGTGTTTTTATTTTTGTGTTTTTTTTAAATAAATTTAAAGGGGTTAACGTATGTTAAAAAAACTAAACTTTCATGCATGTACTTATATGCTGCTTGAGAGTGTAGTTATTATAAAAATTCTGAACAAACATTTTATGTGCCAATATGGTCCTTCCTTCTGGACGAATGCGAATAACTCCAACGCCGGCCTTTTCGAATCTTTCATCCTCGCTTACTCTGATATCTTCAGTCAGAAACCCATTGAAAGTGAGTTTAGTTGTTCTCAAGTTCTCAACTATTCTTCTGATTAATGTTGTCTTGCCTATTCCTAAAATAAAATAATAAACATAGTTAGATTATTATATGTGCAGTCACCATTAAGGCCCACACCATATAATTTTATTAAATAAATCATACATGTTTGACTTTGGAATTTTTAGTTTCTCCATCAAAAATAATTCAAAAACCATGTAGAAGTTTGAAGTTTTAGAAAATGCACTAAAAGTTGTCAAATTTGATATAAAAAATCTAGAAAAACCATAAAATATTTTCATTTTTCCGAGCTTATTTGACAAGGCATTTCAAAATAAATCACACTTCGCTGCCACTTTTTCGCCTCCACAAGACCAAATTGACAAATTCAGAATCCGACGTTCCGTCTTTGGGCAGTCATCGTCAACTTTTGCTTTAATACAGCCCTAGATTTTGTTCTTATGTCTCGTTACCTTTTGACTTGCCCAAAGCAACAACATACCGCAACCATAGAAAAAAGTATAATTTTTACTAAAAATAACACCTTAAAATGCATGAATCTCGTTCTTAACCTTTTCTAATATCAAACTTTGGGAGCTTTTTTCTCCTTCTTCAGGGCTTGTGATGAGTTAATGATTTTTGGTTGTTTACCTATATTTTTTAACATCAATAAAAAATTAAGCAGAACCTTGAGCAGGACCTATAAATTTCATATAAAAATTTATATCACAATGTAAATGAAACGATAGTGAATTTATTTTTATCCAAATCCAAAAGCATTGTGAACTAGTATCTAGTTCTTTTGATTTAGCGGGGCCTTGGGTATTGCAATAGAAAAATGGAAACGAATGAACACAGATTTTTTAGCAGAGATAATGATGTAGGGCTTATGAGGAGTGCACACCTAAATTGGTCTTGCTTTTGCCTTGCCATTATCGGCCAATTCTTGATTCCCATTTGTTAGAGAAACTCGAGAAAACTATATTTATGGTGTAAGAAACTAACCAAGACACTGCCTTCACGACAGTGACAAGAAAACGATACAGAAAAGAAAAGGATCAGGAACAGCTACAATAAATGAAGAGGGTTTTTCAAGACCTGAACGAAAAGTATGGCTCAACATATACAGAGTGAACAATAATGTGACCAAAGAAATGGTAGAAAACGCATCAGAAAAGAGGCAGGCTTTGAGACTGAGAAGCTGACTGTATCAGAACTTACCACGCAAACAAACCTAAAGAGCTCCGTAGTAACAGCACCCCTAACTAGAAAAGATGAAATGTATGAACCATCCTTCTGGCCACCAAACGTCGGCATTAGAAGGTTCAAATTCGAAATGCACAATAGAAGCAGTGGAAATTTTTTAGAATAAATTGGCCCCCAAAAAATAAAACTAATCAAAAAAATCAATCTAAACATAAAGGCTTTCCCATTAGTCCAATCCACCAAAATGTGCAATCTCTGGGCAACTCAGTAGACCAAATAGAGTATGAACTAAACAACCGAAAAAATTGCAAAATCTGCCTAACAGAACATTGGAAATCAGAGAGCCAACTGCAAAATCTGCCCATAAAAGACTACAACCTTCTGTCAAGCTTCTGCAGACCTGAAGGCCACCATGGGGGATCTGCAATTTATACACGCCTGGCAAGTAAACATCTTACAGGCCAATTTTAATGCGATAGAATGAAATGTTTAGAAAAAGTCCAAGGTTGAATAGAGAACGGAAACGATTTCCCCTGTTCCACCTCCAGCAAAAAGCGCCGGGAATGCTAGAGGTGGAACAGGGGAAATCGTTTTCGTTCTCTATTCAACCTTAAAATTTCTCTAGACATTTCATTCTATCGCATTAAAATTGGCATCCAAGATGTTCACATGCCAGGCGTGTATATACAAATCAATACATGGGAAAACTTTAGGAGAATTTCAAAAATATTCTGAAGACAATCAATTTGAGTGCGCTGCAGGTGACAGGAAAAAAAAAACAATTGTAATACTTTCAGTATATAGACCACCAAATGGACACTTACAACTTTTCTTCCAGAAAATAGAACATCTGTTAGAAATAATACAAGCAGAAAACAAGACGACAGTGCCGGTAGGAGATTTTGGCATAGAGATGGTTGATGCAATTGATCCAAATAGAAAGAGAAACATATTTTTAGATACTACAATCTTTTAACCTAAAGCAGATAATCAACCAGTATACGAGAATAACCGACAAGACCAGCAGTTGCATAGATAACATCTTCACAAACATAGAACAATGGGAAAGTCATGTACTCGACATGCATATCTCGGATCACTCTGCACAGAAGTTATGCTTTTTAAACAATACTGACACAAAACCACAAGTAAAATTTCATAGAAAATTTTGTGAGAGGGAGAAAACAACCTTTAAAAACAATCTAATGGACCAAAACTGGGAAACAGTTGGAGAGCAAGAAAAGAAGGATGTAAATGGACAATGGAACCAGTTCATGTCAATATTTTTGGGTATTTTTGATGAATGTTTTCCCAAGAAGCCAAGAGGAAATAGCAAACATAAACACATACCAACCAGCCCAGAAATTGATGGAATTAAAAATAAACTGCTGGACAAATGAAGCGGAACAACGAATTTTTAGTTTAACTTTGGATTCCAATATTACGGGAACTAAAGAAGATATCAATGAGTGGTTTGCATAATTTTAAAGTTAACCTAAAAATTCGCTTGTTCCGCTTGATTTAAACAGCAGTTTTGATTAGATCTCCTATTCATGTTAAAGAATAATATCCTATGTACAATGACATATATAAATATACAAAAAAGCAATATAACTGTCTGAAAGTAAGTAAAGTAAGAAATTATGAAGACAGGGTCAATCGCTCTGACAGATAAAAATAAAATAATGTGGAATATTTACAATTAAATAACAGGGAAAGAAATAATGAGTCAAAACTATAAGATCATTGGAAATCCTGAAGAAGTCGCAAACAGTTTTAACACTTATTTCAATGAAATAGCAAATGATCTTTTAGGGAATTTGAATGATATTCCAATAGATCATAGTCATGTCAAGAATGTAAAAAAATTGTTATATTTAAAGCCTACTTTTCCTCGAGGAGTCAAAGATGTTTCTAAATCTATTAAAAACAAGTACAGTAGTGGTGAAGATGAGATACCGATATCTATAGTTAAATTATCACTGAACTATGTGAGTGAAATTTTGTCATATATCATAAACAACTCATTCAAATATGGCATTTTTCCAGACCAACTAAAACTGGCGCTCATTGAACCTCGCTTCAAAAATGGGGAACCTGAAAATATTGAAAACTATAGACCCATAAGGTTATTGCCAAGTTTTTTTTGAGATGACTATGTGCACAAGACTATCAACCTTTTTCTATGAAATTGATATATTCACTAACACTCAACACGGTTATATTAAGGGGCGGTCAACTCAGACACCAGTCTATCAGTTCACTCAGGATATCCTGGCATGCCTTGGGGGTGACAAGATGGCTTTGGGCATATTCCTTGATTTGTCAAAAGCGTACGATTCCTTAAATAACAACTATCTCATAGAAAAGCTGGAAGCATATGGGATAAGAGGAAATGCAAAAAGTTGGATAGAATCGTACATCGGTGATAGAAAGCAAAATCACCAAGAACAACACAATTTTTAAATCCAACATATTATCCAACACCATGGGAATAGCCGAAGGGAGCGTAATTGGACCCTTTCTGTTCATTGTCTTTTTGAAAGACCTGAGTGGTGTACTGCAGAATTTGGACGACTATGCTGATGACACAAATTTAATTATGGGTGCAGAAACCTTTTGCAGCCTGGAAGAACGGGCTTATGACATCTACATGAAATCCAAAAAATGGTTTGATCAAAATAAATTGATTTTAAATGAGCAAAAGACAAAGTTAGTAATTTTCGACACAAACAGTTTGATTAGATGACCTTCCAATCACACAACTTTCACATTTCACATATCAGAGTCCGCAAAATTCCTAGAAATATATCGACAAATTTTTGAACTTTAATGAACACACTGAACACCTTAGGAAAAAACTGAATAAAACCTGTTCTGCCATCAGGAGTGTTATCTAGATACATGAACGAGAAAACTTTGAGAACTTTATATCCAGCAAACCATGAATCAGTATTTAGGTATGGCATAATCTTTTGAGGAAATAGTTCAAATTTGAGTCTTGTAGATCAAAATTTAAACAGAAAAATGTACTTACGGTGAATGGAATATATTTGTTAGAGTGTTTATTGTTTTTTGATAAAAACAAGGGCAAATTCACTATAAATAATTTCAACTCAAGATATGACACACATACTCTAGACAAGAATTTTCCAATCCATAGACTTGCTCTTACAGAAAGAAACCCTTCCTATATGTGTATCAGAATATTCAATAATTTGCCATATAACATAAAAAACTGAACTGAAACTGAATATTTCAAGGCCTTTAAAAAAGCAATAAAAACATTATTAATTAATTTAGAACCATATAACCTTAACGAATATTTCTCGGAATATTTTGATGCAAGATGGCAAACATAGGGCAACTTTTGAATTGTATACACTTTCTTTTGACAATAATTGACCCTAGCCTAGTTGAATTTTATGCAGGTAATAAAAAAATCAGTGCAAAGCGTGAATAATTATGCGATAAAAATATGTGATAAATTTTATGATGAAATTCGCATCGCTAACAATCATTATGGTACGACGTCTGAAGGTACGACTTGGCGTTATCAAGAAACCGATAAAATTTACCGCAGTGTTTTTTTTCAATGAGTCAGAATATTATCGCCTTTTCAGATAGCAATAATTGAAAATGCATTGGTCAGCATTAGAGTGGTTTAAAAATTTTCTTTTGCCATGTTAAAAATGCTATGTAGGTAGTTGTGCAAGGGCAATAACTTGTTTTCTTATGCCTCAAAGGTTATAATAATTCATTTGGGGTACCTTAGTTTGAAGTCATTTTTCTAATTAGTGGAAAGTGACTCCTTCTCGCGCCACACTAATAAGGAACCTTATATTTTTCTCGAGATTTTTCTATAATAAAAATGTATTAGTAAACTAGTTCTTTCAGAAAAGTTTACTTCATGAGTGCGAAAAAATGGCTAATACCTTTATCGTTAGCCGCATTCATTTAATAAATCTTCACTTCTATATCCCTGGGGCAAGGTTGTTTGAGGGCCGGTTTCTCAATAGCGAGTCACCTCCGGGTTGGTTTTATAACTTCAGGGTAAGCGTGTCCAGTTGCTATGTTCATCCTGGAGTTACGCTTAAGCCGGGGGTGACTCGCTATTGAGAAACTGGCCCTAAAAGAGGTACGTTGCCTGATTACTTTTATGACGTCATCTGGGGTGCCTCAACATAATGCAAGTCTCCATAAGGCACCCTAGATGACGTCATCGCGTTACCCATTACCAGACAACCTATTATCCGGAACCTTGTCCCTGTGGTACCTTAAATAATCGGATATGCATAATCCAGACAAAGACTAAAATTATTAACATGAAATTTAAATTTGATGAAACGATTAAAATATGATATGCCGAATTTTGCAGCAGTCAGCTACCTTGACTGGCTACCTACTTTTTAGGCTCTTTTCAAAAATAGCTCTATGCCACAAATAGGCGACTTTTTAGCATAAACATTTAAATTATGTTTATTTTTCAACAGAAAAATAAACTGTTTATGCATTTTTTAGTACATCCTTCATACCCAAATTTAATTTAGGTAACTTGCCATTAAAAATATTGTGGCTGATATCTACCTACTCATTAAAAATGCTTCACAAACAAACAACTGGCTAGCAAAAATGCATTGCTCAGGAATCACGGGAATTAAAATTTGGTTTAGGTCGTTTAGGAAATGTTCCAAATACTTATCAACCCTTAAAAGCGTCAAAATGTACGCAGTAAAATAAATGGAACAAGCTCAGAATTTAAATTATTAAAAAACAGTGGACAAGTTACCCCAAAAACTCAAAAAAGTTAATATTTTCACTCACCAGGAACTCCAGTAACAAGAATATGCTGCATCTTGTAGGTTGCAAATTAATTTTATAAACGGAAATTTTCTGCGATACGCAAACCGTCACTACCGCACCGTGTTCGCTGTACCTCTGAACTCTGTCGTCTAGCACTGCAGACTGCGGGCAATACACTAACTAATAGATCTCAAAACTTCGAATCGTCACCTGTAGATCCCATTTGACAATTGCGTTTGTTGCAACCCACTATAGCATTAATGCAACGAATTGGAAGGCTAGCATTGCAGCAGAAGTGAGACTTAAAGGTTGAACCAGATGTTTTCTCCTTCTAACGCGCTGCTTTAACAAAGAAATCGCTAATCGGGCATTTTATTGACGAAAAACCGCTGTTTGCTATTTCTATTCAAACTGCACCATAGAAAAAAAACGCATTTCATCCACTGTGCTCTCTCTAAGCTTCACTTACACTCGTGCGCGTTTTTCGCATCGCGGACTTTCCAGTTACATCTGGCAACAACCTGTTTCTAACAGGATAACTATATTTGACATTTTCACTCTGCTGAAACCTGCGAAATTGGCATAGCATGCGCCTGATTCTCCAAATGAGGTAGCTGCATTTCTATGAGAGCAAATGCCTTGTGCTTTTTCCATTGAAAATTTTATTAATGTCAGTTTCTCAATAGCGAGTCACCTCCGGGTTGGTTTCAACTCCAGAGTAAACTTGTTCAGTTGTATTGTTTACCCTGGAGTTATGCTTAACCCGGGGGTGACTTGCTATTGAGAAACCGGCCCTTAGAGTGACAAAAGCAAAAGATTTCATTCGTATCAAAACGCTGCTCTATCGTTTCGAAAATCGAGCTGCAGTTCAATTACATATTCGCTTTCCAGTAGGTAGAGGTACAAATATTAAATAATTGCATAACTTTTAATTCTGCAATCAGGCGCAGGGCAGGAATGAGGTTCAATTCTTCAGGTTGAATGAGGTTCAATTATTCAGGGTGCTTTTGTTAACTGCGCAGAACTGCTTACGCGCTGTAGATGGTATTGAAACTGGTCTGTTACGGTTCAAAATTTCATGAACGGTAATTAACCTAATTTCAATTTGTTGTTTTTGCCAGTTGACAATGTTGACATTATTTGATGAAAAAAGAAAGAGGGACACTACTTTCCTGGTGCTTCCAAATTGCGAAATTATTGCTAAATTATTAGGATAAACAGTCTCTTCTTCAAAAAATTCGTTTCTGAAATCTATGGTACAATAGTTATAGGTAGGTAGGTATTGTTGAGAAATTGCATTGTGATTGTGCGGGAAAGCCATCGTCACTTCGTCACTGTCAGGGCCGTCTCTCTAGTCATCTGGGGGCCCTAAGCACTTTTAAATTTGGGGCCCCTATCCCCCTTTTTGAAAATGTCAAAAAAGGCAACAATAATTATTCGGAACAGAATTTATTTATATAGGGTGTCCACTTAGTGCGATATCGGACGATGTCTCCTTACAGGGTGATGCAAGTAAAAAAAATTAAATTACAAAGTTGTTTGATACTCTAATATGCAATAGTTAAAAATATTTTTGAATATACAGGGTGCTCCGTTTAGGGGGTATGCGACAGAACTTTGTTATTTCAAATGGAATACCCTGTATGTGATTGCATATTTGGATTCTACGTAAAATTCTGAGCCGATTTCGTGTAATATACCGTATACCTAAGTTCAACTGTTTTGGAAATATTGACAGTTGAAAATTGACTTTTCGCAACTTTGACAGGCTGTTAAACCTAAACGGTTAATTTTAGAGGAAAACCGATTTTACATTGCTCCTAATATGATGTTCATAAACTATCATTTGACACCAACTTTGAATTTAACCGGAGATTAAATTTAACTGAAATTTTTAATCATGGATTAGATTCAAAGTTGGTGTTAAATGATAGGAATGTAAAATCGGTTTTCGTCTTAAAAAGCCTATTAAAGTTGCAAAAAGTCAATTTTTAACTGTCAATATTTCCTAAACAGTCGAATCTATAGGTATAGGGTGTATTACATGAAATCTGGTCAGAATTTTACGTAGAATCCAAATATGCAATCACATACAGGTAGATTATATTCAAATAATTATTATTTGAATAATATTTCATTTGATATTATTGATATTTTCATTTATTATTTGAATACTTTTTTATAAAAATTAACGACGGTGCCCCCTATTACAGGGGGCCCTGGGCCAGGGCCCAGCTGGCCCATGCATAAAGATGGCAATGGTCACTGTGCCCGACCGGTGCAGTGGCGTGCCTGACGGGCCCGCAGGGCCCGCGGTGCGGGAGGGTCCCGGGATATTTGGGGCCCCCAAATTAAACAAGGTATTCTCACACAAAATATTTTTCCACTTATGTCAGTTCAGGCCATCAGATGCATAGGAAATGATAGTGATAATTTAGCGTAAAATCTTAAAACGTAACTTTATATAAAATCATTTAATTTTTATTCCACCCCAGACTCCAAGGCACCATAATTTTGCTCACACCGGCAACACTGACCGTGTTGTGTCATGGCTGTGCCAGGGGTTAATTAAGTTAGCCCCCCCATAGAAAATTTCTGGATGAAAATTATCCCATAATTTTGCTCTCATTTTGCTCCATTTTGCTTCACTAATTTCGATTTTTGCTCCATTACAGTGGAGAGACTATGTGGCCTATTAGGTGGGAGGGGGGGGCTGAATAAACGCTAGCCCCCCCACTGAAAATTCAGAAATTTGATCATGCTCATTTTGTTCTCCGAGTTTTGCTCCATTTTGCTCCATTATCGGCGTATTTTGCTCCATTACCAGGAATGACCTACAGAGCTCCCTCGAATCTCTCCCAGCCCCCCCCCCCCCCACCAGTGGAAATTTTGAAATTTGATCCTGCTCATTTTGTTCTCCGAGTTTTGCTCCATAATCGGCGAGTTTTGAGCCCAGAAGAGACCTACAGAGCTCCCAAAAATCTCTCCTAGCCCCCCCCCCGGAAAAAAATTTGAAATTTGAACATGCCCATTTTTGGGAGCTCTGTAGGTCTCTCCCACTGATCTCAAAAAAAAAATGGATAAACAAAGAACGCTTCTAATGCTGCTAATTTACGAAGTCATAATCTAAACAAAAATAACTGACTGGGACAGCTGTGAGCGTACGCAGTAGATACATGTACTGTGCGTGCACAAAATCTGGCCAATGAAAATGAAGGAATTTCAAAATTTAGAACAGTTGTTCGAAAAATAAGACACTGCGCAGGCGTTAGGCTGTTGCACAACTGTTCGTAGAATATTGACCCCAAATTTTCGCACAAATTTTGCCAATCAAGCCGTATGATTGTTTATCCATTTATTTTTTAGATCAGTGGTCTCTCCTGGTAATAGAGCAAAACTCGCCGATTATGGAGCAAAATGGAACAACTCGGAGAACAAAATGAGCATGATCAAATTTCAAAATTTTCATTGGGGCGGGCTGGGAGAGATTCTTGGGAGCTCTGTAGGTCATTCCTGGTAGTGGAGCAAAACTCGCCGATCATGGAGCAAAATGGAGCAAAACTCGGAGAACAAGATGAGCATGATCTTTTCAGTGGTGGGGGGGGGCTAGCGTTTATTCAGCCCCCCCCCCCACCTAATAGGCCATATAGTCTCTCCACTGTAATGGAGCAAAAATTAGTGGAGCAAAAATCGAAACTGGTGGAGCAAAATGAGAGCAAAATTATGGGATAATTTTCATCCAAAAATTTTCTACGGGGGGGGGGGGGGGCTAAATTAATTGACCCCTGTGCCAGTGCCCACAGTGTGCCGCTTTTTTTTATGATGTTTTTTGTTTAATTTTATTTTTACCAAAACTGTTCGGGGCCCCCATGGAAAATCTCGCGGGAGGGCCCCCAAGAAACTCGGCACGCCCCTGGACCGGTGCTGGAATATTCGGAAATTCGTTTCCATTGTGTGCATTGAATAAAGGAGAAATTTCTCAGTTGACTCGTTTCGTACGGCGCGTAAACGTTAGGTGACAGGTGATTTTTGTATTCAATAGGTCCAATAAAAATTGTTGTAGAGTTTTGACTTGCAGAATTTGTGTCAATTGGATATCAGAACTGGAATAATTCGCGAGATATTTAATGAATTAGTTTGGCCTAATGGGCCACTTTAATAATTTTCAAAAACATTTTGAAATTATTGCGTTAGTCATTCTAATAACATCTCTATATTTTTTTCCGTCCGAAAAAAAACGCTTATTTTTAGAAATAAAACGATTTGAAAATCGAATTTTTAATTTGCTGTAAAAACGCGGGCTCGGAAAGTGACGTCACTTTCCTTAAAATACGAGGATGCCGAATTTCTCATAAGTAAATCATTACACAACTCACTACCTAGAAACTATATTTTTGTCCTTTACTACTTTATAAAAAAGTAAAGGATAGGTATACCTAATCGTTGTACTGATGTTTTTAAATGTGGCCACAAAATCATGAATATCGGCTTTAGCCAATGAGACGGCGTTTTCCTTCACGTGATTTCTTGTTTAAATTATCTATTTTTATTTTTTAAATTATTTAATAATTTGACTTAAATCTTGCAAAATATTGTTCATTCTATTCATTCTCGGTTGCATCTGCATCCATGTAGGTATCTGTGTCAAAAAATATCATAATTTGCTATATTCCTGACATGTGAAAGTGGCCTAGATTATAAGGGTAATTACTAAATTGATTTGAGCTGATATTAGGAAGAAATTGTTGAACTGAAACATTGACATCAATACCAGATTTGACACCGTTTGTTCATAAACGGGTTCTCCAAAAAATTCCAGAACACTATGTAGTTTTCTAATTGGAAGCCGTAAGATACAGAAATAGTGACTTTATTGCTGGATTTGACACTGAACAGCAAGCTCACATTGGGTTTTTTGAAAAGTTCCAGAACACTCTAAACATAGTGCATAGTATTCTATTTGGAGACGAACAAGTAATACCAGAATACTGACTTTATTGCTGGTTTTGACATCGAAAATCAAGTCCATGGAGTGATTTTTCTAGAACATCCGATTATGTCCTATATTTGAAAACTAAACAAGATATGGGAATTTTGGATCGCAACAGGACTTTATATTCAAAATCAAGTTTCCAGAAAGATACAATGGTAT